AAACACTGGACTGCTAATCACAAAGGTGGAGGTTCAAACCCACCAGTCACTACTAGGAAATACTACACAGGGTTGCTATGAGCCAGAACTGACTTAATGACAGCACTTAACCACATCTACTAAAAACAACAACCGGTAATTTATATTAAGGAGCTCTGGTAGCGTAGTGGTTACAAATCGGGCTGCTAATCACAGTCAGCAGTTTGAAACTACCAGCTGTTCTGTGGGAGAAAGATGAGGCTTTCTGCTCCAATAAAGATTTACAGCCTCGGAAACCCTGTACAGGGTCGCTATGAGTCGGAACCGACTCCAGGGCATATCACCACCACCAGTAATTTATATTAGTTCTACTTAAAGGGTTTTAATCACCAATATTTTGTTGGTAAGTGCTGTCGAGTCAGTTCTGAACCATAGCGACCCTATATAGGGGTTCCGAGTTGCGGAACTGCCAATCATGCAGTTCAAACTGATTTTGTAGTCCAGCACATTAACCCACAGCGCCACACCAGTACACTAACCCAGATTAACATGCTGCTGCTGCTGTTGTTTGGTGCGTTTCGGTTGATTTTGATTTCAAGTGACCTCATGTAACAGAACTTCCCCACAGGATTTTCTTGGCTGTCCTGCTTACCAAAGCAGATTAACTAGGTCTTTCTCTAATAGAGCCTCTGAATGGGCTCAAACTGCCAATCTTTGTTAGCAGCTGAGCATTAGCAGCCACTGCACCACCTAGGCTCCTGAGATTCCTAAATTGTTGTTCTTAAGTGCCATCAAGACCATTAGGGTTTCCGAGGCTTTAAATTTTTGCAGGAGCAGAAAGCCTCATCTTTCTCCCACAGAGCAGCTGGTGGGCTCAAATGAGGACCTTGCGTTCACAGTACAGTACTTATAGTATTGAGCCACCGCATTCCCCAATTCATGGGTAGAAGGCTCAGAATTACCTAAGGGATATTTCTGACATAGTCCTAACTATTTAAATGTGGCTTTGCAAGATTAATGCAATGGACCACAAGGTAGGTTCAAACCCACCAGCTGCTCCTCAGAAACCCTATACAGGGTCACTATGAGTTGGAACTAACTCCAATGCACTTAACACAACAACTCAACAGCACCTAACAACAACTGCTATAATGCTCAATGGTAATTTTTAGAAGATCACATTACAGAGACACATCCTAACTGTATCTTAAAACTATTTCTAATACACTACGTTATTTTAACCTCATTACCCTGAAGCACTCATTCTAAAATCTTCAAAGACAACTTTAACCAGGTATGTACAGTGTCTGGCTATAGAGATAAGGTCACCCTGGCAGGTGGCAGCAATCAAGTCATCATTCTGAAAACTGATAAGAGAAACAAAAGCAAACATGTATTCCTGCTAGCCTGTCCTAAGTTACAGACTATCATCAAATAATTGATGAGGGAAGTTTCTCCGTGTTCTAATTTTAAAAAAGAAATAAGGAAAAAATAACAGAAGATAGCTATTTTGAAAATCCTTAATGAAATAATGCATATAGGGAAAAATTACTGATGATCATTACATACTTGTTGTGGTTGTTAAGTGCTGTCAAGTCGGTTCCAAATCATAGTAACCCTATATAAAGTTTCCAAGGAGCAGCTGGTAAAACCGCCAACTTTGTGATTCACAGACCTTTCAGTCCAGTGCCACACCAGGACTCCCATTACATCCATGATTATCCTTTGTTTTTGTTGTTTGGTGCTGTTGAGTGGGTTACTAAATCCTCCCAAAATGAAACCTGAATTAAATCGGGCCTCTGTATCTATCACTTGGTATTTCAGATCAAGACTCCAGTTCCTCTCAAACAGAAGAACAATTAAATAAAACCAAGGGAATTCAATCAGCAAAATCCAGACTGTGAAAAACTCTAAGGTCAAAAACCTAGTTTCTTCAACAAGTAAATGACAAGAAATAAAACTTTGTTTTAAACAGGGACAAACTAATAGTGGAGGGGAGGGGCAACACTTTTGAAACTACTAAGGTACATGATAATTATGTTCTATGATTATGTTTTTTAAAGGAGTCACTATTTTACAGATATATTTTAAAGTACTGACAGAAAAAATCAGATGGTGTCTGGGATCTGCTTCTTAAAAAGTCTGGGGTAGAGAAGAAATGGAGAGTTACAGGTGAAGCAAGATTAGACATGAGTTGATAACTGTTGAAACTGAGTGACAAATACCAAACATTCATTTTTATATAAAATCCTCTCTACCTTATGTCTGCTTGAAATATTCCATTATAAAAACATTAAGAAATAAAAAGATGAACTGAAATCTATGAAACAATCCATAGAATCCATAAATACAAACCCAGAGAATTGACAAAAAACAACTTGTCTCTGAGGCCAAAACGAAAATCTTAAATGCTCTACTAGATCACCATTCTCCCCATACACATACAAATACACAAATACTTGACAAATAAGAAAACTGAAACCCAAAGAGATAAGCCTTGCTCAAGGTATAGAACAAAACAACTGCAGAGTCAAAACTACATTCTACAATTTTCTAAGTCCAGAAAGAGGTCTAAGAAGCCCTTGGAGCTAAGCTGTACAAAATGTTATTAAAAAGATTTAAACAGTTCTGAACTAGTCTGATCTGAAAGCCCAATAAAGGGGGGCAGGGGAGAAGGCATTAAAAGGTAGTTTTTAAAAAAGTTAGGTGGTCTGAAGGTAAAATATTAGCATGAGAACAGTAAGTCTAGAGGGAAAATCTTATTTGTTGATAATCCTCACAATGAAATAGAAGTTTTAAATCTACGATGTTAAATTTGCTAGGTATATGATTCAAGGTGTCTACAGAAAAGAAACTCATGCAGCTTAGAAGCAGTTTGCTCAAGCATTGGTAAAACATGAAAGCATGATTTTAAAACCTAGTCTTTAAAAATAATTGTACGCAAGTTTAAAATCTTAAATATCCAAATGAATGAAATCTTAAACATAAAAATGGGGTTTATCTTAGTACTCAAAAAGAGAAAGCATTCAAAATACGTCCATGAAGAGGCCTTCATTATTGAGAATTGTTGTTAAGTGTTGTCAAGTTGGTTATGACTCACAGGAACCCCAGTATAGGGTTTCTTAGGAGTGGCTAGTGAGTTTGAACAACCTATCTTGCAGTTCAAACCGACCTTGAGGCCACATGTTTATCCTCTGGGGCCAAAATAGATGTTTTCAAAAAAGTAAGGGTCCAAATTTATATGTTAAGTCATTAAAAAGAATGAAATTTAGTATATATTATCTTTTCAATAAACACTGTGCCATTTAAATAAAACATGAATTTGACCTAGAAACAGCATGACTAATTAATAAGACTATGTAACCTCGTTTATCTTCTGTCAATTTGAAAATACTAAAACGTAGTTAAAATTGATGTTTTCTGAAATAAATCATTTCCAAACTACTGACCATTCATAATAAAAATGGATTTCAATTTCTCCTAACATGTATTAGTAACTACTTTCAAAAGTGGTAAACTGGATAAGTTTTTTATTGGAAAAATGGTCTATTTTTAAAAAAGATACTTCTGGCATTAAACTGGGCAAAACTAGAAGCAATGTATTTAAAAAATTCATATGAAACATTAAAAGTATATGTATTATAGTAATTAAAATAAATAACACACAAGTGTGACCTCTAAAACTTAACATATTATAGATAATTGCGATCATTGTTTAAAATAACATAACAAAAATAGCTTATTCTTTAAAGAGCTGTAGCATAAAAGGGGCCTAAAGAGATTAGGGGAAGCAATGTACTAGTAACCTCAAGGACAGCTGTTCAAACCAAGCAGTCACTCTCAGTAACCCTCTACAGGGTCACTATGAGTCAGAACTGACACACAACAACAACAAAGGAGATAATACAGAAATGGAAAATGTGACAAGAACTTCATTGGTGGTGGTGGTGGTGGTGGTGATGCACCGTGGTGTTGGGTACGACTCATAGCAACCCAGTACAGTGTTCCTGAGGCTATAAATTACCTTCAGCTGTGCAGTAGGCATGTTTCTGTGACCCTTGCCAGTATCCTCAAAGTTATAATGTAGCTTCTCACTAGAAAAGCATGTTTTTAAGTAGTACCTTCTCCTCCAATAACCTAAAATCAAAGCATTCATGTAAAAATTCATATATGGACAAAAAGAAAAAAATGAAAGATTTCTGAGTGACAAAAACAAAAGTCTGAAGAAGTCATCATGGATAAGTAAGTGCATGGTCTTGAGTGAAGCAATACTATTCTAGGCTCAGCTCTGCTACACACTAGCCAGGCAATCCCTGCACCACTTTTTTCATCAGTAAAACAGGGATAATTTTAATAATAATTTCACAAGGTTATGGTCAAGATCAAATAAGACAATGCTCATAAATTGTTAGCAGAGTGGCAAACACAATAAGCACCTCAGTCAATTACCTTTTCATACAATAAGTAAATTTTTTTTTATCAAATTAAAAGGGTTAATTCCAAGAAAAATAATTAATGCTCTTTTCACCAAAAAATGTCTGTATCCTACTACCCATTGTGGGAGCAAAAAAAAAAGTATAAATAAAAAATGAAGCTATCTTATTTTTCTGCTAAGGTCCTAATTTTATTTATGTAATTTGGGGATCACTGAACATCACTATCTGAAGTTTTTAATAGTATGCCCACTTTGTATGGGGGGATCTAGTGTGGCATTGTAGGATAAGCACTGGATTGCTAACCGCAAAGTGGGTTGATCAAACCCACCAGCTGCTCCTTGGAAACCCTAGACAGGGCCGCTGTGAGTCAGGACTGATTTGATAGCACTTAACAATAACAACAATATATTTTGTGTGTTCTAAAAAAGGCAGAATACAGAAAATGGCTTACATTCTTTTAAAACTTGGGTTAATATTAATAACTATGAATAAATAGTCATCCTTTAAATAACGTGGTAGGGTCAACTGCAAAATTTTTATCACAAAGTATTTTAAAACTTCATCAATAAAAAGGAAAGCAGTTACCTTTGTACAATAAAGCATCCAAAGTTCAAAGAGTCTCTCTCTGGATGCCATTCTGGCTTTCACTTTGCCACTTTAACTTTTCCTCAAAAAAAAAAAAATTATGTTCATGACATGCTCATTTTATTTTTCCAAGTTTTTCAGCCGTTTACAAGTAAAGCTCAAAGCAGGGAAAACGAAAAGAGTAGTAACAAATGGGCTGTCTTCTGGTTAATAAAGGAGAGTCTCGGCAGTTACTCCAGTGAATCTTCAAGCAGCGGTACGTGATACTTGGGCAATTAATCTGTGAGAGAGAAAAACAGCCAAAAGTTTGTTAGAAAATGAGGTCTTATTAAAATCAAAAACAACCTAGACTTATCAACAGTTCTACTAACAAGAAAAGACTTATCTGCTTCACTTCCCACAAACCGGCTAAGCGTTGACACAGGTTTGATTTCACAGAACTTTGTAATTCAGGGAGAAAAATCACAGCCACCACGCTATTATTTCCCATCAATTCCAAGTAAGATAACGCTCTGGGACAACCTCATAAAGATGCGAACTCAACCAAAAATGTGTCCAGTGATAATAAGAAGGAACAAACAGCAAATATAACGTGTCTATGTTCGACAGATAGAAAGTATTTTTTACAGACATATAAGAAAGACTAAAAACCTCTTAGCGTTTTCTAGTCTGCTTCTGAAAAGTTGAGAATGTTTGTTGTTCTGCGGCAGGCCGTGGGGGAAGGGGTGAAAAATTCCTGGTTGGTAGGTTGGTTGGTTTGAACGATCTTCTCAGAGAGAAAGTCGACCTGCCCACCTGGCCTCTACCTCTCTCTCCATCCAGGAAGAACAGAGAGTACGCACTCGCAGGCAAAGGAAACACCCCGGGAAAGCCTCCAAGTGTTTTCGGGATCTTTAAATTTCCTCCTCGCATCGCAGACAACAGAATCAAAGGCAAACTTAAGGTCTGCCAAGCTACCAAGAAAGGCTTTAAAAACGGGGTAACGCGAGCTCGGCGTCCCTAGACCTGCCACATCCACGCCTGCCCGACCCCACCAGGACACGCCCGGGACAGGCTCGCCCCCTCACAGCCGCCCCTAATCCATAGCTCCTCCACCATCAAGCAACCGGGGCCCGCCTTCTTTCTCGCCCCGAGGCTCCCTCTCCCCTCAGACCCGCTTCTCCTCACCGCGCTCACTTTGGGGGCCGCACCGCCGCCACACGGCCGCAGTCTAACTTGCTTCCCTCACCCCTTTCTCAAACCAAAGCCCCTTTCAACCCGCAGGCAGGCAGGCAGGCTAGAGCGCTGAAGAGGGAGGCGGGGCGCGAAGGCCGGGAGGAGCCAGGGGCTGAGCTGCCCTCTAGCCTAAACGTTCCGGCCGCTATGATTTACCCAGCCCTGGAGCGGTCGCTGTTCATTGGTCGCGCAAGCTGAAAGGGTGAGAGTATCCAGAAGCCCCGCCCCTCCAGAATACCTGCGCAGCCGCAGTCCATAAGACTCCTGCTGGTTTACTCGGGCAGGGTGCCAGGCTAAGAGTTCTGGTCAGAGTCTTTTTCCAGCCAGGGAGGGGAAGAGCGAACTGGACAGAATCTACGCGCTGACGTTGGAACTCCGTCCCTATTGGAGTGGGCCGACTGAACGCTCAGGTGATGCGTCATTTCCGGGACTCGTCTGAGGGCGGAGAGCTCTACGGTAATAACTAAAGGTGTTTGATTTCTTGCCGTAGAAAGAGTGATGTAAAAATAAACATTTTCCTCTAAATAAATTCTTTTTCTGTATTGTGTTTGTGCCTCTTATTTCCATCGCCATTGTTGTTGTTAAGTAAGCGCCATCAAATGGGTTCCGACTCACAGCGACCCGGTATTGGGTTTCCAAAAAGTAGCTGGTGGGTTTGAACTGGCAACCTTGTAGTTAACAGTTCCAGTACTCATCCTAAAGCGCCGCACATTTTTCTTACAAAAAGATGTGAAGCCCAGGCCTTCCTTTTGCCGTTGTTAGGTGGTGCCGTTGAGTCGATTCAGACTCATAGTGACCCTGTATAGGGTTTCCTAGGAACAGCTAGTGGGTTTGAACTTACAACTTTGTGGTTCACAATCCAGTGCTGATCCTACCACACGAGGGTCCACGCCTCCCTTGTTGTTAAGTGCCGTGGAGTCAGTTCCAGCCCCTGTTGTTGTTGTTTAGTGCCGTAGAGTCGGTTCCGACCCATAGCGACCCTGTAGAGGGTTTCCGGGGAGCCGCTGATGAGTTTGAACTATCGACCTTGCAGTTCAAACCTACCTTGGGGTCGAGTGCTAACTTACCCTGTGGTGCCACAGCAGGACTAGGAGTGGGGATAAGCTTTAGTAATGTGAGTGAGCCTTTTAACTACCTGCAGTCACTTTTTCTCCCAAAGTAGCTCAAGGAAAATACATCTTAATAAGATTGTGACCTAGCACTTTTTAAAAATAGAAATTCAGTTTTGTTATGCTAAAAGAATATTTCTAGTCTGATTTTCATGATAAAGACCTCTTTTATAGAAATGGCCAAATATGAGCCATCTAGAATGTTCCTGTGTTCAAATACTTTGTCAGCTGATGACAGGCAGGCGTTTCAGTTCACCTCACTAAATAGAATCTTAATTAAATGAATTAGCAGTAAGAAATACATCTGCCAAGGCAGTTGAACTACAAGTATCATTTCCATCACCTTTTGAAAACTCACCTTACCCAAGTCCCTTTTACAAAAGACATTCATTAGTACTTGAAAGAAATCTGAAGAATTTTGCTTTTCTGAGAAAAGAAAAGTGAAACTAGTATTAAACATTTGTTTTACAGGAGGTGTTTGTTAAAAGAGGTTTTAAGAGTTTAAAATGTTTTTCACCACATTTTTGTAAAGTTGTTCACCATATATTAGTTAATAAGCACAAGTACACCTGTGTTTACCTTGTTGGGCAATCTGCTCCTGAGTCTTTTTTTTTTTTAACCATATGGTACCACCTTTTCAAAGTCCATAGAATGAGTTTAGAGCAGGGTTTCACAATCTCAGCATTACATATTTTAGACTGAATATTTCTGTATTACAGCGAACTGTTCCAAGCATTGCAGGATGTTTACCTTGACACTAGATGCCCAATGTTGTTGTCATGAAGTGCCATCAAGTCAGTTCCAACTCATAGTAAACCTGCATAGGACTTCCAAGGTGCAGCTGGTGGGCTTGAACTGCCGACCTTGTGGTTCACAGTCCAGTGCTGAACCTACAGTGACACACCAGGAGTCCAGATGCCCAGCTGTTGTTGTTGTTACTGCCATCGAGTAGGTTCCGACCCATAGTGCCTCTGCATAGGGTTTCTGAGGAGCCACTGGTGAGTTTGAACCACCGACCTTGTAGTTCATACGGCTTTGCAGTTTGGCGCATTCCCCCAAATGGGAAAACCAAAATTGCCTCTGTTGTTAAGTGCGGTGGAGGCAGTCTGACTTGTGGCAACCCTGTATAGGGTTTCCAAGGAGTGGCTGGTGTGTTTGAACTGCCAATTTTATGGTTAGTAGTCCAATGCTAACCATAAAATGCCTCCTCAAAGTAAGGTTGACCATAATGACATGAATACAGTTAAGTTCGGGCGAGAAAAGCGCACAGAACCTGCATTTGCTGATGCGCAACAACTTAAAATGAAGAGAAACAGCTGTAAACATCCATTGAAAATTGGAACATGGAAT